GAACATAGGCCCTTTAAGTTCAGCATTTGTATACACACACACACACACACACACACACACACACACACAAGACATGAATGAAAACCTAATGATGACAAGGTACTCCTGGGTATGGTGGAGGTGGAGGAGCTTTTCTGTAGCCAGAGGAGGGGTCCACACCGAACCAGGCTGTGAGAGGCGGGGAAGCAAGAAAAGAGAGAGGGAGCAAAGAGAGTACCTGGGAACCCAGAGACCAAGAGGCAAAGATGGAAATAAAGAACCTTTAGCCAAAATGGTTGAAGTTATATAGGAATCAGAGACACTGGGGAGAAGGCTGGAAAGTTTAGGGTAGGGTGGGGTGTGCCAGCCAGGATGGTTCTGTAATACCTGCTGAGAGATGCAGCTGAGAGAGATGCAGCTGAGAGAGAGATGCAGCTGAGAGAGAGATGCAGCTGAGAGAGAGATGCAGCTGAGAGAGATGCAGCTGAGAGAGATGCAGCTGAGAGAGAGATGCAGCTGAGAGAGAGATGCAGCTGAGAGAGATGCAGCTGAGAGAGAGATGCAGCTGAGAGAGATGCAGCTGAGAGAGATGCAGCTGAGAGAGATGCAGCTGAGAGAGATGCAGCTGAGAGAGATGCAGCTGAGAGAGATGCAGCTGAGAGAGATGCAGCTGAGAGAGATGCAGCTGAGAGAGATGCAGCTGAGAGAGATGCAGCTGAGAGAGATGCAGCTGAGAGAGATGCAGCTGAGAGAGATGCAGCTGAGAGAGATGCAGCTGAGAGAGAGATGCAGCTGAGAGATGCAGCTGAGAGAGATGCAGCTGAGAGAGATGCAGCTGAGAGAGATGCAGCTGAGAGAGATGCAGCTGAGAGAGAGATGCAGCTGAGAGAGATGCAGCTGAGAGAGATGCAGCTGAGAGAGATGCAGCTGAGAGAGAGATGCAGCTGAGAGAGATGCAGCTGAGAGAGATGCAGCTGAGAGAGATGCAGCTGAGAGAGATGCAGCTGAGAGAGATGCAGCTGAGAGAGAGATGCAGCTGAGAGATGCAGCTGAGAGAGATGCAGCTGAGAGAGATGCAGCTGAGAGAGATGCAGCTGAGAGAGATGCAGCTGAGAGAGATGCAGCTGAGAGAGATGCAGCTGAGAGAGAGATGCAGCTGAGAGAGAGATGCAGCTGAGAGAGATGCAGCTGAGAGAGATGCAGCTGAGAGAGATGCAGCTGAGAGAGATGCAGCGGAGAGAGATGCAGCTGAGAGAGATGCAGCTGAGAGAGATGCAGCTGAGAGAGATGCAGCTGAGAGATGCAGCTGAGAGATGCAGCTGAGAGAGATGCAGCTGAGAGAGATGCAGCTGAGAGAGATGCAGCTGAGAGAGAGATGCAGCTGAGAGAGATGCAGCTGAGAGAGATGCAGCTGAGAGAGAGATGCAGCTGAGAGATGCAGCTGAGAGAGAGATGCAGCTGAGAGAGATGCAGCTGAGAGATGCAGCTGAGAGAGATGCAGCTGAGAGAGATGCAGCTGAGAGATGCAGCTGAGAGATGCAGCTGGAGAGATGCAGCTGAGAGAGATGCAGCTGAGAGAGAGATGCAGCTGAGAGAGAGATGCAGCTGAGAGAGAGATGCAGCTGAGAGAGAGATGCAGCTGAGAGAGAGATGCAGCTGAGAGAGATGCAGCTGAGAGAGATGCAGCTGAGATGCAGCTGAGAGATGCTGCAAGAACCAGGTGGCCAGGGCTGCTTTGATGTGGCCATCTGAGACCTAACACAACAGGTCTGAAGTGTATAAGGGAGTCTAGAAGATGAGGAGACTGGAGAGTTTTACTCTGACCTGTTGATGCCCGGTGAAAAATCAAGCAGACTTGGATTGACTGCAGCAAGGTCACACGTCGCAAACACGGACGGCAGTCACAAACTACTTAGGCAGGCCTTCTCCTTCACACGGAGCGGCCTGTTCTGTTTTCTAAGTTCCTGTGCTGTTCGCGGTAACAGCTTTTTGCTGTGGCAGTTTGTTGTCTGTGGCTGGGAGAAGCTCATCACCCCTTGCGTTCAGGCTAAGGAGTGCTGGAGGCCGGCCGAAGCTGGAAAGGACAAGGACTGTGTTGTGCCCCGTAGTCTCCAGACAGGAAGTCCCTGCCAACTTTGCTTTCTTGTCAGTATGAAGCCAACTTCTCATACAGAGGCCTGTGTGATGTCTGTTGTGACTTTTCAGGCTGATGACAAACAGTTTCATAAGGCTTGGGAGATGGTCCAGCGGGTAATGTTCTTGCCAGTAAGCAGGAGGACCTGAGTTTGCTCCCTAGCACCCATGTTTAAACAACAACATCAACAATAAAACCCACCAAAAACGAAACCAAACAATCCAGTGATGCGGTATCCACTGGATGAACAAAAAAAATAAATAAATAAAAAGGAAAACACGTAACTATAGGTACGGAGGAGGAGAAAGTTTATTGTAAAAATGTGGGAGAGACATCTGGGAGAATCCAGAGTGGACAGGACCAGGCTGAGCTGGGCCCTGTGGGGAGATGGGGAGGGGAAGGGAGAGGGAAGATGGGGGAACTGGTTATAGCAGACAGAAAGCCAAAGGAACAAAAAGGGGAAAGATAACCAAACTGCCTGGATTATGTAGGGAAGAGCCTCTGGGAGAAGGGCTGGCTGCCCAGCCCCTGGGCCGGAAGGTTCAAGATTGAGGGTGGGGCATTCCAGCCAGACTCCAAAAAAGGCAGGGGCTGAGGGAAGCTGGTGGCCAGACCCAGCTTTGGTATGTAAAACGGTACCTCAGCCATTTGTCCTGGCTTTGAGACTTAAAGCTTGTAGTCATGCTGGGGAAGCAGAGATAGGAAGGCCCCCAGGGCTTACTGGTCTACCAGACAAACCCAGTCATGAGCTCCAGGTGCAGGAAAGAGAAGTCTCAAAAAAAATAAGGCAAAGAGCAGGTGAGGAAGAAACCGGATGTTGACCTCTGGCTTTCGTGTGTGTGTGTGTGTGTGTGTGTGTGTGTGTGTGTGTGTGTGTGTGTGATACACACATTCAATTACAAGGCTCTTACCAGGCCTTGGGAAGGACAGAGCTTCTGAGCCTCAGACTTGTGCACATTATAGTTTCTGACAGGAATTGGCACCAAGATGTCAAGTCCCTTCTGCCCATCACACTCTGAGTTTCTAGCCTTGGACCTGTTAATCCCAAAGATGGGAGGAGAAAGTCCTGTACCCAGATCCTCATGGCCAAATTAATTAAGATAAGCAATTAAAATAAGCTTCTCTTATCCATGCACATGGGCTGCCTCCCCCTAAGGCCAGGTTCAATAGGTCAGCACTGGATGTGAGGAAGACAAGGCTTTTATAGCTCAGGGGTAAGGGGTTTCCAAATGGTGGATTTGTTGGACAAAATAGGTGGGGTTACAGGAGCAGAACAAACAAGTTAGTCCTAACGACCTCTTGAAACAAAGACATGGTTGCATGGTAGGCATAACAAGGTAGTCATAGTGATAATATGGTAGTAAGAGGCTGTCATATAATCTTTTGAAACAAAGGTATGATTGTAACATGCTTATAAACCACCTCTTGAAACAAAGGCAAGATTGCAATTCCTGGAACATGCCGTACAGAACCATTTGTAGTGAAAGTTACAGGTGGGGCATAGTCCAATTCTTGAAAAGCAGAGGTTTAATCATAAGCAGGAGTTTTTCTGTCCTGCTTGTGTACACTGTAAGACGGCTTTCAAGCCTAAAATGGAGGCAGGCTGGTCCTTCAGACCTTCATTCCTAATTCTCTTTTTCTGAAGCCTTGGGCAGAGATCTTCCTCAGTTTCTCCTGCAGAGCCAGAAGGATGGGGAACCCTGAGAGATGCCCCTGTGTTAACTTTCCCTCCTGCGCCTTCCTCATTACTTTCCCTCTGACCTCAGGGGCCACAGAACTTCCAGAACCCTTTCTTGGGTCTCTCCACTGTTGAGACAGCCCCACATTGGGGTGGCCCATCTGTCACTTTAACTGTTGCATTGGGACAAGAGGGAAAACGGAACAGGGCAGGGGTCAGGTCCTGTGTTTTAGACTCTGGCTTAAGCCATTGTAGAATGTACCTAATAATGTCCAGAGCTACTGTACTCGATAATTCAGATTCTAGACAAACTAGTCCACCACCCCTTTCCTGCTCAACTGGGCTTCAGGGAAAAGAAACTGGCTTTGGATTTCTAGCTCCAGAAATCTCCTCCCTTTCCCTCATCACCCTTCCCCCCTTTTCTTCCTTCTCTTCCTTCTTTTGTCTTCTCTTCTCTTCTTTTCTCTTCCTATTTCAGACCACTAGTTTCATGGCAATTTATTGCAACTGTAGTATGAAACTGTACAGGCTGGTTTTGTGAGTCAGCTTGACACAAGCTAGAGTCATCAGAGAGGAAGGAGCCTCAGTTGAGGAAATGCCTCCATGAGACCCAGGTGGAATGCAGTATGTCAATAAAAAGTGATCAATGGGGGAGGGCCCAGTCCATGGTAAGTGTGGCCATCCTGGACTGGTAGTCCTGGGTTCTATAGGAAGTAGGCTGAGCAGGCCAGCGGAAGCAAGCCAGCATGCAGCATGCCTTCCATGGCCTCTGCATCAGCTCCCGCCTCCAGGATCCTGCCCTGTTTGAGTTCCTGTCCTGACCTCCTTCAGTAGTGAACAGCAACATGAAAGTGCAAGCTAAATAAATCTTTTTTCCCCCCAGCTTGCTCTTTGGTCATGGTGTTTAATAGCAGCAGTTTAAACCCTAACTAAGACAGAAACAAATATAGTAGCATTTTTCTGAGAATTTTTTTGTCTGTATTCTTAAGTTGTCCTAGTTTCAATTCTGTTTGTTGTGATGAAATATTCCAATAAAAAAGGAACTTGGGAGTGCACTGGTTCGTTTTCTGTTAACCTGACATGGCTATAGTCATCTGAGAGAAGGGGACCTCTGTTGGGGAAGTCCTGTGCATATGTCAATAAAGCTCTGTTGGCCAATAGGGAAGCAAGATAGGTGGGGCTGGGAGTTGAGGAGGATTCTGGGAAAGAGAGACACAAGAGACATCATGTAGCTGCCATAAAAGTAAAAGGTCCGGACCCTTTCTCCGGTAAGAGAAATACTTAGATTAACAATTATGGGGTAAATACTTAAGTCAGAGATAGCCGGTAAGAAACCAAGTAAAATGGCCAACAGCTTCGTAATTAATATAGTGTCCTGTGTTTTTATTTGGGGACTGCAACTGTGGCAGAACCAAAGGAAAACTACACGTACAGACCTCAATTTAGAAACATGTTTCTATGTGATTGGGCTGTAGGGCATTTTCTTAGTGATTTTTGTGGGAAGGCCAATCCCATTTGAGGGGTTCCATCCCCGGGCTGGTGGTCCTGGGTTCTATAAGAAAGCAGGCTGAGCTGGCCACAAGGAGGAAGCCAGTAAGCAGCTCTCTCCATGGCCTTTGCATCAGCTCCTGCCTCAAGGTTTCTGTCCTGCTTGAGTTCCTGCCCTGACTTCCCTCAGTGATGAACTATTACCTGAAAGTATAAGGGAAATAGACCCTTTCCTCCCCAGGCTGCTGTTGGTTGTGGTATTTTATCAAAGTGATGGAAACTCTAACTAACATAGGGAAGAAAGTATTTACTTAGCTTCTAGTCCCAGGTTGCAGTCCACGCACCAAGGCAGGCGCTTGAAGCAGATGCTAACACCACACTCATAGTTGAGACCAGAGAGAGACACGTTCATGCTCAGGGATAAGCTGGTTCAGATTTCAGGCCCCCAAACCTGGGGATGGTGTAAACTGGGTCTTCCTATGTCAACTAAGGCACGGGACAACCCTTGCACACAGGCCCACAGGCCCACAGGAGCTAGACAGTCCCTCATTGAGACGTCCTAGGTGATTCTACAGTGTGTCACATGACAATTAAAACCAACTGTCCTCTAGGGTATAAGTGGTCTCTAGCTTTCTAGTGTGTTTGACTGATTTGGGGGCAATGTAAGATGCTTTACTTGGCTTGGATTAGAAAGAATTCCCTTTTCTACTTCTTAGGTATTTGTGTGTGCTGGCTATGTCTTCACATGCTTAGCGAACTTACCTGAGGCTGGACTGCGTGTAAACATTTCACAAATTCTAACTCTGGGATTTTTTTTGAAGGACTTCCTAGGGTTTCTACCTCTTTTTAAGTTGGTTTAGTAGTGTGTGAATTTCTTGACTGTGCTTGTTTTACCTAAGTTGTTCTTGCTTGCCTGGCCAGCTCCTCAGTGGGCCTTCCTGTTCCTTTCTCTGCCTTTGCTCGTTCAGATCCTTGCTGCTTGTTCTTGTCTGCCACGGGGCCAATTGCCCCATTGAGATGCTCTCATTTTCATAAGCACCTGGTGTTAATTCTTTGTCACCGGTTGGCAACTTTCTTCCGCTGACTGTAGCTCTCCCATAAGTCGACTTTCCTGTCTAAACCTTCATTTCCTTCCTGTTACTATCATTCCCCTCTGTTGACTTCCTGTTCATTGCCTTCTTTTTCTCTCTCTTATGATCATGTCCCTCTTTCATTTGGGATCTTTGTGGGACCCAGAACAGCTCCTTGTTTCTATAACTGAAGTAGGATGACTCCTCAGTATGTTTACAGGAACTTGGGGGAGTGAAGGAAGACAGATTTTTTTTTTTGGCAGAGCAGATGGATAGGCAACCTAAATTGTGCTTAATTCTTTTTCCTCATCTTCGTGTGTGTGTGTGTGTGTGTGTGTGTGTGTGTGAGAGAGAGAGAGAGAGAGAGAGAGAGAGAGAGAGAGAGCTTGCAGTTTTAACAACTGAGTTTAAAGGTCTTATCTTTGAATGTTTACCTCACTCTGGTGCGTTCTTGTATCCCTAAGGAAGTTCTGACGTGATTGCCCTCCATTCTTTTATGTCAGTGGGATTGGTTTTCACAGCCAATATGGCTGAAAATCTCGGGGTAACACTTGATGCTGCTTTTGGTCCCTTGCTTTGACATTTAGTCTAGACACCATGCTGAAATTATTTCTTTTGTATTTATTTTATTGATATACACGTGTGTTTGTTCCTGGGTGTATGTATGTGTACAACATGCGAGCAGGTCTTCTCAGAAGCCAGAAGAGGGCATCAGATCCCCTGTGACTGGAGTTACAGGCAGATGTGAAACCCCGTGTAGGTGCTGAGACCCAAACCTGGGTGTTCTGCAAGGGTACCAGTGCTCTTAGCTGGTGAGCTATCTCTTTAGCTAGGATTTAGTTTAAAACATAGTTCATGGTTTTTTTGTTTGTTTGTTTTTTGTTTTTTGTTTTTGGTTTTTACAAGACAAGGTTTCTCTGTGTTGTTTTGGAGGCTGTCGGTCCAGCCCAGCCTCGAGTTCGTGGTTTTTAAAAGTGGATACCAAGCCGTGGTTTTCGTCGTGGCATTTTCATACGATGTGTCAATATGCTCCGCTCATCTTCACCCTCTGCTGTTCTCCCCAGCTCCTGCCTCCCTCCAACATGTCCCCTTCCCTCTTCTAGACAGTCCCTACTCTCTTCTCATGGCTCATGCATTCTAGTCCCTTTTCCTTCCTGCCTCTCTTAACAGTCCTTCCTCACGACCCCCTTCTAGTTTCATGGACTCCACACACATTTGTAAGTATAAACACACACACACGCACACACACACACACACACACACATGCACACATATTCATGTGTGTGCTGTGTGATTTAAAATCTAGTTTCTACACATGGGAGAAAATGTGGTGTTTGTTTTTTTCTGAGTATGGCATATTTTGCCTCTCATACCAGTTTCCAGTTCTACCCATTTTCCTACAAATGCCATAACTGTGCTGTGAGTGTAAATTCCACCGCCCATGCAGTGGCTTACTTTTGGATGTTTCTCTGTCCGTTTCACCTGGCTGCAGAGTGCAAACTTGGTTGGCTGCACCTGAATGTGCCATCCCAGAAGCAGTTCAGCAGCACCGTTAGTCCCGTGCTCCTGCCTCACTTCTTAGCATCTCTTGAACACGGCCTTCTTTCTGATACGGCTCTCCTCGGGATTGCACGCATAGTTCCAGGCATCATATTTAAACACAGCATCCATCGGTAGCGGAGAGACTGACACCTCTTTGTCTAAGAGAAAAGAAAGCTCTTCTGGAATCCTCTCCCTTCTGTCAGCAGCCAGCCCCCAGTTAGCTCGCTGCTGCCCGCGCTCAGGCCCCACTCTGGAGTTCAGGATGTACTCAGCTGTGTGTCAGTACTGTGAGAAAACCAGGGTGTGCCAGTGAGGGGAAAGGGGGACTTAAGCAGCAGCAGTGGCGGCGTGCTCGATTATGTGTTGAAGTTCAACATTTTTTGCTGTCATTTAAAAGTTTCTATTTTTTCCTAGGAAGGTAGAACCTCACTTTTGCAGTCACAGCAACAGGTGTGCCATTTCTAAACAGAAACCTGCTTTGCTTACAAAGGGGCTAGGCTTAAACAACACTCATTAAAGACAACTTATTATCGTCAAAATTCATGAGCTTCCTAACATATAGGTAAAGGAGAAGTGCTTTATCTAGTTGTGTAAAGTTTCTTTTTTCTTTTTTAATCTGACAGATTTTATTATTATTGATGTTTGGAATCAGAGAAAAAACTTGATTCTCCACAAAACCGAGTTTATAAAGGATTTAAGTTTTACACAGGGCTCTGTTATCTATGCTCACTGGTTACAGCAAGCTTATTGCTTACAGCAGAGTCTCCTGCGTTTAAGGGGCTTATCATATTCCATTGCATATAAACAGTAGTATATGCACACACACATATACATACACACACATGCATACATATACACACATACATACATACATATACACACACATACATACACACACACACGTAATCCCTTAAAAATAACTAAATATTCCAAAGTTTGAGGATTCTGTAAGCTGACAGGGTGAAGGAAGTTACTGAATTGCTTGAGAAAGTTCATTGTTCTTGGCTTATTTGACCTGGCATATTTATCCATAATTAAGCAATCTCTTTAATGTGCAGATAAATAATAATGTTGACAGCTTTAATAAATGTCACAGTCACAGACCTTTTTTTCCAATGTGTATATAATTGAGTGATTACATCAGTGTTTTAGAAGAAACTATATTGGAGTACAATTAATATACAAAAAGTCGCTCATGCTTAATTATACTTTTTTTTGATTTTTTGAGACAATGTTTCTCTGTGTAATAGCTGTGGCTGTCCTGGAACTCACTTTGTAGACCAGGCTGGCTTTAGACTCACAGAGATCTGTCTGCCTTCTGCCTCTGCCTCCTGAGTGCTGGGATTAAAGGTGTATGCCCTCACTATCTGGCTTAATTATATATCTTGATGAGCTTGGATAGATATGTAAAATGGTGATATCATCACAACCAAAATACTGATTAGATACAGAACTTCCTAAGAGTTGTGTGTGTGTGTGTGTGTGTGTGTGTGTGCGCACACAGGCATGCCATAAGCTCCCCTATCTTTTCCACACTACACCACACCACACTCTATGTCCTATATCAGATCCTCAGAGTCTACTCATCTGCATCACTGAAGCTTGTGCTCATCCGCGACACTTCCCCATGGTTTCCTGCCTCCAGCTCTGGAACTCTCTTTTCTACTCTCTGCTTCAAACAGTTTGGCTATTTTTGCTCTCTTCTCAGTGAAATCGTGTAGCTTGTTCTTTTGTTGCTTCACTCAGCATAGTCTCCCAGGCTGACCTATGGTGTTGCCGATGGTAGGATTTTCCTCTTTTGAGAGTTTATTTTTGTTTGTGTGTATGTGTGTATGTGTGGGAGACTATGCCATGTGATTGCAGTGCCTGTGGTGGCCAGGAGAGGGCGTCAGACTCCTCTGGAGCCAGAATTACAGGTGGTTGTGAGCCACCCTACATGAATGGGGGGAGCTAACTCTGACCCTCTGGAAGAGCAATAAGTGCTCTTAATCTCTATGCCATCTCCCCATCCCCTGGCTGTCCTCCTGTAGGGTACAATATTTTACTGTAATGTAAATCACATTTTCCCTATCCTGCTTCCAATCTCCTGATGGACACTGGGTTTATTTTTAAGTCTTAGTCATTATGAATGATGTCACAAAGAAAATCTGCAGGGGCACAGATCTCTTTATGAGCTTCTGCTTTTGATTTTATCACTCACACAAATAAGTGAAATTGCAAGATCATATGGCAGGTCCGTGTTAATTTATTTCAGTGCTAGAGACTGAATCCAGGGCCTCATGTATGATAGATAAGTGCCCTACCACTGAGCTACTGAGCTTCTCCCCCTTATTTTAAATTTCATACAGCCTTGACATTTGGTATCCTCCTCTTCCCTTCCTGTAGGAGTGAACCCCACAGAGCTATCCGCCCAACAGGGCGGGGTCAAGGTAGAGATAAAAGGAAGTGAAAGGAAAAGGGGCTTCCCTTTTCTCGTGGAAGCCAGCCATGCTTCTAACTCCTGGTCTGTGCGACTCTCTCCCTCTCTCTCTGATAAATAAATATATTGTTTTCCCTATATAGCATCGAATATCGTTATACCTTCCCCTTCCCCCTCCCTCCTCCTCCTCCCCTTTCACAATACCTACTCCACTGGGTATGAAATAGTATCTCATTGTGGGTTTAATATGCTAGTCTCTGGTCTCTGACCATTAGTAAGATTGAGCCTCTTTTAAATATACTGCTGATCATTTATTTGAGTCTTCTATCCTTAATTTATAGTTATTTTAGATAAGGGGTTTTATATGTTGAATTTTAACCCCTTGCCAGACATTCTTGAATGCCTGTGTTGTTAGCCTCTTTATTCTATTTATTTTTATTTGGCTTTTAGAGACCTTTCTATCTTGATATAGCTTTACTCGTCAAGTTTTAATTGTTCCTGTTTGGATAGCAAGTCTAAAAAAATATTGACCATATTAAAGTCAAGCAGCTTTCCCTTGCCAGCCCTGGTGGCTTGTAGCTACTACCCCAGCACTTGGCCAATGAAAGTGGGAACAGGGGTGTCCTGAAATTTGAGGCCAGACTGGACTACATAGGGAGTTCAAGGCCAGTCTGGACTGTCTCAAACAAGCGAACAAACAAAGAAGCTTTCTCCCCGTGTTTTCTTAGAGTGGTTTTATAGTTTTGAATCTTGCCTTTGCATTTTTACTTTAAATCGAGCTTTGTGTTTGGTATGAGGATCTAGTTACTGTGTATTTTTGGCGTGCCTATCTATCAGGAATCGGAAAACGACATAACAGCAATGCATTTTTAAACTATTGATTGTGTCAAAAGGTAAATGAATTAAATTCTCCAATCAAAAAGCAAATAATGAAGCTAGGCATGGTGGCACACACCTTTCATCCCAGCACTTGAGAGGCAGAGGCAAGTAGACAGGTAGATCTCTCAGAGTTCAAGGTCAGCCTGGTCTTCAATCGAGAATTCCATGTTATCCAGGGGTTACACAGTGAGACTTCATGTGATTTTTTTTAAAGGCAAATAGTGTCCAAATGGATTAAACAAAGCAAAGATATAAGTTCTGGCTGAATGCTGCCTGGTGTACCAGCACTCATTTGGCTTTAAGGGCACTTATGGAGTCCAAGTGTGGAAGAGGGCGTTCTATGCAGGGGTAACCAAGAAAGCCGGTGGCGGCAATTACATCAGACAGAATAAAGTTTAAGATGAATACTGTCAAAGTACAGGCAGTTCACTAATGAATGAGGAAGACATCGCCATTATACAGAACCCCCCCTTCCCCCGACACAGCAGCCAACAAGGCAGAGCAAATGAGGATGACCACAGGGTGTGAAAGAGGGACAGCTAACTTCTCTCACCCGGCCAAAATCAGTCAGCAGGCGCTGAACTCCAACTATGCTTCAGACCAAATGGTTCCAACAGACAGGGCATCTCCTTTCCCTGGCAAGAGAATACAAATTGCTCTCAAGGCTACATGGAGTAAGAAAGATGCAGGAAAGCATAAGCCTGAAGAAATTCACGGGCGCTTACAGCACACTGTCTGTCTGCCCCGGGGCACGGTGGCACGGAGTGGGAGTCAGTAAGAAGATGGAAATCTTCACAAATCGGTGTCGGCTATAGAAGGCGAGGATTAACTCCAAAGCCTGGGGCTGGATCACCACATCTGTATTCCCTTTCCTACGAGTATTGCAAAATCATAACTTTTGTTGTTTTAACTTTACAGGACACAAAACGGAATGGAGTAGAATTTATATTCATGGGAGATTGCGGACGAGGAAGGTTGCATCTTGTGGCTTTAAATGAGAATGTATTCCTACAGCCAGACCATAAATTTCAAGTAACAGCCATCAAAGGAGCATGCTGATTAGTAAAGACAGGAGAGAACAACCAATAGGAATGTTACATACTAATTAGCAAAGACAAAGGAGAACAACCAATCAGGAACGTCTGCTTATTGTTCAATGCAAATTACGTCAACTCTGAATGTAAGCTGTGCAAACCATCAAAGATGAGACAGTGTTCAGAATCTAGTTAGTAGCTACAAAGTCATTTAAAAATGTTCACATTATCTATTAACAAATAAAACTAATTTTATTTGAATCATTTTTATTTATAAAATGTACTTAAATGCATTTAGATATAGTAATTGTATTTCTTTTGATAATATTCTAGTATATTATTTCTATAATACTTTTTAAAGTAATCATGATGGGGGTTGGTTAGTATTAGTGTTTTCACTGTTGGAAGTCCTTATAATTAATACAGAACAAACCTGAATGGCACAAAGATAACATTTGAAAACTGTACAGTGGCGGTTCAAGGGATAGCTCTGTATCACGGTGCTTTCTCAGTAGACACAAGGTCGTGACTTCAGTCCTAGTACTGCAAAAGCAATATATATTGGGAGTATATACAACAATTGGATGTATTCTTATAGGAAGAAAACATGTAAAACGAGTAAGAAATCCCCCAGTGGGCTAACAGCAAAGGGATGAGAATCTTAACTCACAGAATTCAGAATACATCACAGGGTTAGGCTGCTTAATCTATACATATTTGTGAAATTCCTAATCTGTATATTATTGACTTCCATTGTCATACTGTGTTTGGAAAGTTTATCACAGGCATCACCTCAAGCACTCCAGGAACTGTCAGTTTTTCTGTATAAGACATGCCTGTGTTAGGATAATAGAGCTGATGAAGGAGATTTGTCACACGATTTCCTGTGATTGAGGAGGCTGAGAAGTTCCAGTACTGTCCATCTGCAGGCTGGAGGCCTGTGTGGTTCCAGGACCATCCATCCCCAGGGCCTAAGGATATGAGAACCAGGAGTCAGTAGTGTAGATGTCAGCTCCGGCCTCCAGGCCTCCAGGCATGGGTCTGAAAGGAGGAGAAGATGATGTTCCGGGCAGCGGAAGGGAGATTCACACTTCCTTTGCATTTCCGTTTTCAGTCCGCCAGTGGAGCAGGCGATTCTTCGCTTATATTGGTAAGGTTATCTTTCCTCAGCCTTTTGATTCCAATTCTTACTCTTTTCAGAAACACCACTGTAGACACACCGGCCAACAAAAATGTTCCGGGTATCTGGGTGTTCCTACACCCTGTCAAAGGAACACATAAAAGTGAACCACCAAAGTCCCACCCATTGTCAGCTGGGAACCACACACCTGCTGACGCTAAATCTTCAAACAGTGACAACAAGGAAGCCACAGTTGTGTCCGGGCACTGAAACCACTCCATATGCAAATAAAAGAGGCGGCCACAGTCTTGAGCAGATTTCCCTTCCTCCGACATCTTGTAGCTTAAATAGGATGAGGAATAGTTTATTTTACAAGAAGACGCATACAGTTCCAGCCCATTTTTTTTCTGTAAATGCTCACATGTTAGAGCCAGGGTCTATCACTACCTTCCTATATTACTCCATCTATAACCCCTTTGTCCTCAGCAAGACCTTCAGCGTATCTGGTAGCATATTGACTCCTGCAGCCCCTGTCTGAAGGGACATCTTGTGGTTGTTTCCCGTTTGTCCTTAACCTCCAGACACTGAGGTGCTCCCAGAGATTGTCTGTATTCCAGATAGACTTGGATCGTATTGTGGAGGAGCTGTTCCGTTTCCCTTTGGGAGTCAGGACCAGCTGACACCATGGCTTCCACCTCTGCCTATGACTTCGGAGGCCCGAGGAGTGCAAAGGAGCAAAGATGACAGTCTGTGGAGTCATTGCTGTGTCTCTGGCTGACAGCGTTTCTTCCTCTGTAACTGTGACTGCTATGCCAGCTCCGCATACAACCATGGGAACAAGAAGAAAAGAAAACAAACACGTCAGTGCGTCAAAGGCATAAGAGTCAAAGGCTCCACTCCTGTTTCAGCTTCCTGGGTACCAGGTGACTCTTGATGTCATGTGTTTTGTCCTGTATTAGCTACCAATCCAGCGTGTATGCGGCCCTTTGGAGACCCACGCTCCAGCCAGACAAGATAGTGTACCTAGCTCGTGCCGTAACTGTCTCCAGAAGGCCATTGCAACACTACCCCAGTGCCACCTGCTTCCGGGTGTTAGCGAGGCCAGTGATTTCCAGGAACACGGACGGGCCCATTGCTACGCTTCTTTTTTGCTGTGCAGTGAGTTTGCCGACCGACGCTTTGTGAGCGTGGACGTTTTGCAGGTCTGCTGTGGAAGTCTGTCTGGAATGAGCAGTCCAACACCTACGAGCATGGCAGGGAGATTTCCTCACCGGTAGACTGAAGCCAAGAGAGTTCCGGGCCACTTTGCGATCCATTTTCTATACTAGGAAACCGCAAGCAATATTTTACAGACACGTACGTGGCAGTCAGTAGGTTGTCAAGGGCAACAGTCCATTGTTTCAGCCATTTCTCCGGGTCATTCTGTTCCAGTTAGCAGCTGAAGTCATGCTTGGCAAATAGGCAGTACACGCCGCGCTTTAAGGAGCTCGCTAAACAAATCAATAAATCACTGCCCAATAATTAGTCTTTTCTGTCCAGTTCTACTTCAGGGACAATACTGTTCCGTGTTGTGATAGACACTTAGTGACGGCTGGAGCTTGTTTGGCACTGGTGAGTAAAAAGACCGTGTTTCTAAGGCATGGGTCACCTCATGCCAGTCACCACGGTCCTTTGTTTATGAGCTCACTGGGCGATGGCAAGACTGGCGGAGACGAGAGGCTGCTGGTGTCTGCAGAGCGGGTTGGTTTATGCGTTTGATTGCTAAACTCCCCTCCACTAAGAAGGCATCCTTTGGTGAGCACTGATGCGTTCACTTTTGAGATGCTCACCCTGGGAGGTCAACTGCACATCCTCTCATTAAGAGATTCATTTCCTCCTCTCTAAGACAAGCTCTCATCTGTCCCGCTCTGGCCTCACACCGGCTAGGAAGCCGAGGACCTTCCCACCTCCACCTGCCAAGGCTTGGGATTAGCACGGCGTACCACCAGGTGTGGTGTTTTCCAGTCACGTTCTTCCCACAGCCGGGCCATTGTGTACAGTCTACGCATTGTTACGTAATCTCCCATGTGGGTAGCTTCCCATTTCTTATACGGTGCCCACGCATCCTGAAGAGCCAGCTGTCATCCGGGAGCAGGTCTTCTTGTGCTCAGTCAGTTGCTCATGGGGATTCTCCGTGAGGACTTCAGTGCCAGCTGAGAGAGAGGCAGGGTTGCTGGTGAGGGATCGTGGGTGTTGGAACCACTTGGCCCTGTAAATTACATGTCTTCTTGGGTCCAGTGTATATATGATTATATGCATTGTGTATTATCTGGGTTATAATATATCACACATTATCTATGCATGTGCATTGTTATATAAGCTCATGCATATATACATAACATATTATGTATTCTTTCCATTAGATGATATTGTATGGTCATGCATACTCAGCCTTATGGTCTCACGTGTCAGTCAACAGTCACTTCATTATTAGTTCAGCTCACATGGTAACTTGGTGGCCCCTGGTCAACCTCTTACCCTATGCAAAGGCTCAGTAGCAGAGTAAGAGTTTTTTTTTTTCCCCAGAAGAGGAATATCTTCTACAGATGACGTTAGGGCCTTGTTCTAACAGTCTGAAGTCCTACACTGTGGCTTCACCTTTATGGGCTTCTGAAGGTCCTGGAGAGCTGCGGCTACCTTAAACACTGCTGCGTGTGTCGTGTCTCGTGTCTCCAGTTGATGACACAGCAGCTTATGTAGAGCCTAGGCCCGTTTTCTTTTGTTCTGTGCCCCACTCAAGGAGCGCACTGCAGTGAAGACTACACTTACTCCCAAATACAGAGAGGTGCTAACCATTGTGCTCTTGCTTGGGGTGGGGGCTGGAGGCTGGGTGCAACAGCTGACACTTGACCTAAAAGCAGATGTCTTGAAGTATCCACCAGTGGTCCCTTAAAACGTCACATATGGAAAAGGCTTACGCTTGTGTATGTATGCAGTGTGTGTGTGTCCCTTACAAACTTCACATATGGAAAAGGCTTACACTTGTGTATGTATGCAGTGTGTGTGTGTATGTATGTATGCATTGTGTGTGTGTGTCCCTTACAAACTTCACATATGGAAAAGGCTTATGCTTGTGTATGTATGCAGTGTGTGTGTGTGTGTGTCCCTTATGTCACATATGGAAAAGCTTACGCTTGTGTATGTATGCAGTGTGTGTGTATGTATGCATTGTGTGTGTGTGTTTGTGTGTGTGTGTCCCTTACAAACTTCACATATGGAAAAGGCTTATGCTTGTGTATGTATGCAGTGTGTGTGTGTGTGTGTGTGTCCCTTATGTCACATATGGAAAAGCTTACGCTTGTGTATGTATGCAGTGTGTGTGTATGTATGCATTGTGTGTGTGTGTTTGTGTGTGTGTCCCTTACAAACTTCACATATGGAAAAGGCTTACACTTGTGTATGTATGCAGTGTGTGTGTGTGTGTGTGTCCCTTACAAACTTCACATATGGAAAAGGCTTACGCTTGTGTATGTATGCAGTGTGTGTGTGTATGTGTGTGTGTGTCCCTTACAAACTTCACATATGGAAAAGGCTTATGCTTGTGTATGTATGCATTGTATGTGTGTATGTGTGTGTGTGTCCCTTACAAACTTCACATATGGAAAGGCTTACGCTTGTGTATGTATGCTGTGTGAGTGTGTGTGTGTGCGTGTGTCTGTCTGTCTGCCTGTCTGTCTGTCTGTCTGTCTGTCTAAGGCATGAATGTCAATGTCAGAGGACATTATGCTGGAGGTGGCTCACTCCTTTTCCTTTGTGGGTTCTGTGCATCCATTTCAAGTCTTCAAGCTCTGCGCCGAGTACCATTACTTCTGAGCCATTTCCCTGACTCTCGGGGATTTTAGATTTCTGATAGGGATATGTCTGCCCAGTAAATCTAGAAAAGTTCTTTTTTTCTTGCTTATCAGATTAAATGAGCAAAATAGCATCCACATGATAGCCTGGAGTGATATCTTCCAAAAGGAAAAGGCGATCACCATCCTTGCCTGCTGAACTAGCATAAGGCTGGATGTTGGTGCAGGTCTGAGACAGAACAGTGGAGGCGTATTGCCATATGAAAGCAAGTCTAGCCTCATGGGTCTTTGGGAGAAAGTGTTCGCTAGATCCACAGCTGCATATGATCTACCAAGGTATGTG